TTCCTAACGCGCCTGCCCCACGCGTCTCCCCGCCACGCTTCGCTGCGGGCGACCCCTTCCCGATGCAGTCCCAGCCGCCCCCGCCTTACTTACACGGACGATCTGAAACAGGGGACGTGCTGGTCCGACCCAGAGAAGGCAGCACCTGCTCGCTCGGGCTGCTGTAGGACCTGTCTATTATTTCTAATGAGGTTTTTGTCATTTAGTACCCTGGATGCTACACATCCAACGGGGTGGGGTGGGGGGAGACACCATATACATGCAGGAATTTACCAATGGTGTTTAAATACCTGTATTTCATTTTTTCTTTATATATAATTATATACATATTCTTTCTTTAAAAAAATTAAGTTTGTATATTTCTACTTCCGGAAAAAAGCGTCCCGATTCCTCTGAGTCACGATGGATGAAGTCTGCAAAACAGGGGACTGGGGAGGGGGCTGCTGCAAGGCCTGCCCCAACCATCACCTGGGAGCTTGCACGGAAAGGAGAGGACAACCTGAGAGAGGAGGTGGAAGAAATGCAGACTCCCATACACACAGCTCCTGGGTGCTACTGAGGGATGAGGAGGAGGAAGGTATTACCTGCCGCAGGCCGGGTAACAAAACGGAAAGAGTTTGCTGCCCTCTCAGGTTACAGCCCTTCCTGCTGCACTAGTTCAGAGGGCCCAAGACTGAACCAAGGGGTCCCACAAGCAAAGTAATACTATTTACAAGATGGAAAAAAAACCAAAAAAAACCCCAAAAACTGTTCTCGATTTGACCAGGAATGTTGGGTTGGAGGGGACAAAATGTATTGTAAAGAGGATAGGTAGGTCCAAATTATTTTTTCAGGCTTTAAGGTAAACAAATAACTTCTCTCAATACAGATATCCGGTTGTGCCTATGCTAACACCCACACAAACCAGTAAGAGGGATCACAAACCAGTAAGAAGGACAGACTCAAGTTTATTACCTCCTCCCACAAGCCTCTTCACTTCCCAGGCAGTTACCGTTCAGTATTTCTCCACCTGGCCCAATGGACAGCCTGTGGTAAAACGTATTCACAAGGCGCAACAAAATGTAACACATTTACGCTCTCTTTGTTCTGTAAACGAGAATTTTTAGGAATATTTCCTACTGCCAGCAATAGGAAGTTAGCAGGGAAGAATCAATTGGATCAGTCTCAAATTATACAGAGCAACACTATCTCCTTACCCCTCTCAGCAACAAACTTGTGGCACCAGCATCTCCTTTACTGGGCTTCTCCTACTCAATTCGTAACATCCAAGCCTTGGGCAAACAGCTCATGACTTTGCCCTTTAAGAAAAAAACAATTGCTTAGAGGACAGCAAGCGAAGAAACAAGAGGCCCAATAGGACATATTTAAAAACAAACCCCTTCCAATTCATTCTTCAATTACAGATCACCACCTCAGTCCTAAATCTACTTTCCTGAAGCCTTTCTGTACTATACCTTTCACAGGTATTGGCCAAATGGTGTTCCTCAGGCCAAGACTATCTCTACCTCTACTCTCTTTTCCTGTGTGTCCTACATACACTATTCTAATTTATTTTAAACTACACAACCATCCTCCAGCTGATCTACTTGCCCGACACTTCTCTTACCATCATTCTGATCAGATTTGACCTCTCGCTTCCCGTATGCAGCCATAACCCTAAGCAAAATCCATTCCAGGAAGCAAAGCCCAGTCTGATCAGCTTAAAAATCAGATTTGCCTCACGCAACTCATTTCCGAAGAGCTTTCTTTCATACCTCTATGCCAGCTTCACTGGTTGTTGCTCTTTACCTTAATGGGAATTTCATTCTCGCCACTGGCTCTATCATCTCTGACCCTTTTTGTCACTACCTCAAAGTTTAAATAATAAAATGGAATACAATTGCACAGGGAAGTAATATAAAGGACCCTCAAACCGTTATCACCAGTACCAAAAGATACCTGGGTTGAAGGGACTGCTATTTTACCTGAGTGTCTTGTGGCCCCAGTACAGCAAGAAATTTCCTGTATACTAGGACATATGTTCACAGTCTGAAAGTGGAGAAACTAATCACCTCAAAAGCAAGCTTGACCCACACTAACTCCCCCCATCACAGACCCAACGTGACTGCCATCATACATTCCACTCACGGCATCTCCAGCACACCTTTTCAGTCAAGGAAACTGCCAGAAATTTCCTCTCTGGTTTTCAACTTGCCTTCCTTTGCAAAACCTGTCTGTGCAAGAGAAGCTGCCCATGGGACTGAGCACACCAGCTGATTCAGCACAGTGCAATGCTGAGACAGGACTAGAAAATAACACTTTTGAAGTTTCAGTACAAGCCCATGGAAGGAAAGGTTAGCAAGGACACCTGAAACATGATTAAGCAGATTTAAATTACAGGCAGAAGTAGCTGGAAATCTCTCAGAAGTGCTCCCCATACTGCCAGGTCCTGAAGTGCTCAGCAATGGTGAGCAAACCTCTTGGGGGAGAGCGAGAACTGCAGATTATTCAGCCCTGGAGTTATCTAGAAGAAACAGGTCATCCTACGCCAGTCTGGTCAGCCCAGTAGAAAAAAGGCTGCGCTGCAGATCTCCAGTCACAGAAAGACAAGAAGTCAACAGACCACGTTTCCGAGTGGCACAGGGTTTCAAAGAGATGACAGCCAGGACAGTAAAATGAAAGAAAACTGCTTCAAGCCTGTAACCTGTGGTACCATGTGATGCAGTCTGGCTGCCTTTGAGTGACTTCCAAGCTGCTAGCAGTCTCTCTCCCACCGAAACCCTGTTGCTTGCATTAGTTTTATAAACTGGGATTACACTGCTCTGCCTTAAAATAAATACAAGACAAACTGGAGATGGAGGAAGAAATAAAGCATTTTGTGTATCTGTCCCTGTTGTGAAAAGGAGCGGGAGTAAGGGGGAAGGTGCTGAAGAATTTCATTGGTTTGAAATTTTTTTTTTCCTAGCTTATCATCGACCAAAAAAAACAAAAAAAAAACCCAAAAAAACCCCCACATCACTGGACGGTTTTAAGCCACAACAAACACAAGTTAGCATGAGCTTAGAGAAGCTCCACAGGGTGAGAAGAGTATTGCACACATAAATGCAAGAAGGGAAGATTTTCTGTTTCTCAGACAAGAAATTCATGAAAAGCAAAGAGGCTGGGGGCAGAGGAAATGGTGGTAATCACATCCCAAAATATCTTGTTCGAAGTTCCTGGGAAACCATTTTCTGTGGGTAGTTGACATAACTTTACAGAAGGTAAGAGAAACCCAGCTTTCTTGGGATGTCAGTATTCTGTTTTCCTGGAAAAGCAAGAAGAAAACATTTTCCTATCACAGTGAAATGAACAAATGACACGGATGAGTCATTGCACTGAAGATCTCTCAAATCCAGAGTTACACTGTAAGAGAAGGAAACCAGCTTTCCCATGTCACTTCTCAACAAATAAATCACCACCCCAAATTTCCCAGTCATGATAACATCAAAGTCAATATCAATTCCTAATCATAAAAGGTGGCTGAAACAAACTTTCATATTTGTCTCTAAATCCCGTTTTTAAAATGTCTGCAGAAAACCCTGTCTGAAGTATCAATATAATATCAAATTCCAGATTAAAAATACCACTACTGAATTCATGAAGTAATCTCCAAAGCATGGTCCAAGGGTTGCAGAGCCTTCCCCTGGAGGTGGAATGCAGATAAAATACAGTGTGGGGACTGTCTTGAAACAAGAGAAAAGCGGACAGGGTTGTCATGACAACAGTAGGATTACTCCAGGTAACAAAACTAAGGCAGGAAAAGAACGATCAGCAAGACAAGATTTAAGCAGAAAACAGTTCATTAATTGCACAGACACTCCAGCCTGTCTCCCTGTTGGGGGTTTATAATACAGAGATTGTTTCTCGCTGGGATATGGCAAAGGGATTGACAGTTTCTGTTAAAGGACAAAGATAATAGCCACAAATGTAACATAGAGCAACAGTCAGAAAAATAAATTAATAAATAAACACATAAAAAGTCTGCTTCTTGATTCTCATGAAGCCTTAGAGAGGAAGGGATTGGCTTCACTTGGACTCCTTTGTTTTTAGTCAGCAGTTCAGAATTT